TGGATTTCAACCTGCCAAAGATTAAAACTAGACCCTTATCTTTCACCATGCACTAAACTAAAATCCAAGTGGATTAAAGATCTAAATATTAAAACAGAAACACTAAACTTGCTGGAAGATAAGTTAGGCAGAACTCTCAAAGACATTGGCATAGGAAAAGATTTTATGAACAAATCCTCAGGAGCATGGGAACTAGCACAAAGAATCAACAACTGGGATCTCATCTTATTAAACAGGTTCTGTGCTGCAAGAGAAACCACCAACACAGCAACAATCTACAACATGGAAAAAAAAATTTTACCAGCTGTTCCTGAGACAAAGGCCTCCTATCTAGAATATATAAAGAACAACAACAATAACAAAAAATCAGACCACCCTTGGAATATAATGACCCAAGTCAAAAATGAGCATCTGAAATGAACATTCTTCAGACAAAAAAGTAAAAGCAACAAATAAACATATGAAAAATGTTCAACATCACTGGTCACTTGAGAAATGCAGATGAAAACAACACTGAGATTCCACCTCACCACAGAAAGAATGGCTGCTATCAAGAAACCAACCAATAACAAATGTTGGCGGGGTTGTGGGGAAAAAGGAACCCTTCTCCATTGTTGGTGGGAGTACAGATTGGTGCAATCACTGTGGAAATCAATATGGAAATACCTCAAAGAACTAGCATTAGAGCCAGGCATGGTGGCACATGCCTGTAATCCCAGCATTCAGGAGGCTGAGAAAGGAGGATCACTGTGAGTTCAAGACCAGCCTGGACTACATAGTGAGTTCCAGGTCAGTCTCAACTACACAGTGAGACCATTTCAAAAAAACCAAAAAAAAAAAAAAAAAAAAAAAAAAAAAAAAGAAGAAGAAGAACTAGGATTAGAGGTTCCATTTGACCCAGCTATCCCTCTGCTGGGTATCTTCCCAAAAGAAAAGAATTCAAAGAATCATACCAAAGTGATATATGCACACCCATTTTTTATAGCAGCAAAGTTTGTAATAGCTAAAACTTGGAAACAGCCCAACTGCCTATCAACTGGAGACTAAATAAAGATGTGTTTTGTATAAAATGGAGTACTACTCAGCCATAAAGAATAAGAAACTAGAGACATCTACAGCTAAGTGTATGTACATTAAGGCCATGCTCTTAAATGAAATAAAAAGGATACACATGTATAAATACTGAATAGTTTCTCTGGTGTGAAAAACTAAAAGTGTAAATAAGGATCAAAATGTAAAACATTGTAAAATAGGAAGAAAATATCTAAAGGAGAAGGGGAAGTGGGAGAGACAGGGGAAAGGAAAGACGGAAAAAGAAAAAATATGAGAAATGGAAACAAAGTCTTTGTAAATATGGAAGGATTTAAGGGGTGAAGGGAGGGCAGCAGAATGGGGAGAAACTAAGAACCAAGATACATCATGTAATGGTACAAGATCCTAATGATGAAGGTAACTGCATTGTATACCTAAAATGTACCGATAAACTTAATGAGGAAAAAAAGCTTCTGTACATGGCCTGGGTATTTAGCTCAGAGGCACCTGCCTTGCCAGCACAAGGTCCTGAGTTTAATCCCCAGTACCAAAAAAAAAAAAAAAAAAAAAAAAAAAAAAAAAAATGCTCTGTACAGCAAAGGAAACAAACAATCAAGAGTTGAGACAACCTGCAGAGAGGGAAAAAAAATTTTGCCAACTATTCCTCAAATGGAGTAATAACATCTAAAATATATAAACAACTAAAAAAACTTAGAACCCCTAGTTGGGGGTGGTGGTGCATACCTGTGATCCCAGCACTTGAGGAGGATCAGCATGAGTTCAAGGCCAGCCTGGGATGCATAGTGAGTCCAAGGCCAGCCTGAACTGCCTAGTGCAGTGACAGCAAACTTTCTGGAGACCAAGTTCCCAAACTGTAACTCAAAATCCACTTACAGGGCCAGGGATTTAGCTCAGCTGTTCTGTCACCTGTCTTGCAAGCACAAGGTCCCAAGTTCGATCCCTGGTAAAAAAAAAAAACAAACAAAAAAAACCACTTACTTATCACAAAGTGCCAACACTGCAATTAAACCTGAATACTGAGGTTTTAGTTTAGAAAAAAACAACTGTTATCCAATGTTGGCTGCTGGGCTGACTTGTGTGCCAACAGATAGGGCTCTGCATGTTCCCTGAGGCACATGTGCCTTAGGTTCACCACCAATGGCCTAACAAGACCTTTTTTTAAAAAATTTAGAATCCCCCAAAATAAAAGACCCAATCAAATATGGTCAAGTAAAATGAACATATACTTCTCAGAAGTACAGATGGACAATACATACATGAAAAAATGTTCAACATTTCTGGCCAGTAGAGAAATGCAAATAAAAACAACACTAATATTCCATCTTACTCCAGAAGGAATGGCTATCATAAGAAAAAAAAAAAAAAAATCAAACATTAACAAATGTTGGCAAGGCTGCATGGGGGCTGGGAGAGGAAACTTCTACATCATTGGTGGGAATGTAAACTGGTACAACTACTATGGAGATCGGTATGGAGATTCCTCAAAGAACTAAAATTAGAAATTCCATTTGACCCAACTTTCTAGTCCCCTTCTAGGTATCCATAGCAGCACGATTTATATTAGCTAAATCTTGGGACCAGAGTAAAACTCCATCATCAGATGAATGAACAAAGAAAATGTGGTATTTATACACAATGGAGTACTACTCTGCCATAAAAGAGGATAAACTTGAAGCATTCGTAGGTAAATAGATGCACCTCGAGACCACAATATTAAGTAAAACAAATGAGACACCCAATCTTAAATACTTCATGGTTTCTCTTATATGAGAAGCGCAAAATATAAATAAAGAGCAAAAAAGATATTCCATCCCTGGTACATGGGGGGGGCACACAACAGATAATAGGAAGTAGGGAGACCGGAGATGTTTTTCAAACGAGAAAACAAACAAAAGATGGAGGGTGGCGGGGATATAAGAAAAGGGATTAAAAAAAAAAAGAACTTGGAGAGAGCGGATCTGAGGACATAGCTCAGCAGTAGAGCACAAGGGAGGCCTGGGTTCAATCCCATCACAAAAAAAACAACCAGCCAACAGGGAGGGATCTGATTTCCATTTCACCTTACTGATTCATAATAATGTCCCAAGGCAGCAAGTCATTAATTTCTGAGATCACAAACAGAAGGCCCAATGAGAAAACCAAGCAGAATGAAGTTAAAAGGTATGTAGAACAAAAGTTAATTTACCACAAGTACTATATTACAGGAAACCTTTAGTAGTCCATAAAAATGAGTTCTCTGGAAAGACGGAGCGTAAGCAACTTGCACAAATTTTTTGCATTTTATATTTTCTCTACTTAACTTGGATTACGACAATACACCAGAATTTCCAGATACTTACACCAGCAAAGTGCAGAAGCCAGTTCCAACACAGAATTATAAATTCTTGAGATGAACTGGATGTTTCTTTAGTTTGGGCCATAAAACAGATGGAGAAAGTTAATTAAGAATTAAAAGATTTAGAATGCTTCCACTGGGATCTGAGACTTCAGTTTGTTTCAGAGGGAGCTGGCAGGGTATTCTGAAGATGAAGACAAGCCTTATTCACAATACCCTGCCTCAGTGGCTGGCAGGTGGGTCCCCAGGACCCAGCACATCCATAATTTATTACCCAATGCCCAAGCCAACAAATTAATGCACAATGATTTCCTTCCCAGTCCTCCCACAAGGAGGCAACCTTCAAGTCAGAACAATGTGCCCAGAAGAACCTAAAGATACAGGGGATATCCAAGGAAAGAACAATCTTCTGCATTTTCTCTTCCCTCATTCTCCACACCTTTACCTCTCACCCCACCGCTCCCCCAATTTAAAACTGTATAAAACCACACCTTGAGTCAAGGTGCTCTTTCTCTCTCCATGGCAGACTCTAAAGAGGTCAAAGCTTCTAACATTGGGCTCGGGATTTAGCTCAGTGGTTCCGACGCCTGCCTCACAAGCACCAGGACCTGAGTTCGATCCCCGGTACCAAAAAAAAAAAAAAAAAAAAAAGCTTCTAACATTGAATTTTCTTTAGGTTTGCATAAATTATTAAAACAAAACAAAAAAAACACTGGCCCAGAAGCTACAGAAAGCATAATGAGTCATTCCACAAGGGACTCAATCAAACCTGTAGACCACAAGGCCCTGACCTGGTAAACGGAAGTGGACCGGGTTTAAAAAAAAAAAAAAAAAAGACGACGACGACCCCAAAAAAACCTAACTAGCCACTGACAGGCTTAACTAGCTCGTTGACTCTGGACAAATCACCAATCTCTCTGGACCTCACTTCTAAAAAGGGGGTGTGCTGGACTGCACAACCTTCTAAGAAACCCTCTGAGTCACGACCTGGATCTTTGGGATACATCAGAAGGCAACGGAGAAGTTTCTAAAGGCTATAAGTATTTCAACAAATGGAGAAGGGGAAAACATGAATGATTTTACACACACACACACACACACGGATGAGTAAATGGTTTCGGTGTCCGACAGGAGCTGGGCAGAGAGAGAAGGGTCAGAGGTTCCACCCTAGGGACACGGGAAAGGGAGCCCGGAGGCTGGAAGAGAGAGCGCCTGCAGCAGCAAACAACCGGCCTCGAGGGCTGGGATGCAGGGAGGCCTAGTCCAAGGGTGGGCAGGGTGCTGCGCCCCGCCGCGCTACTCCTCCAGAGAGAGGCGGGGTGGAGGCGCCGGTCAGCGGCTGAGGAAAGTCGACAGGTTCGGGGGTGGGGTGCTGAGAGAGAGGCTGGAGCTGAAGGCTGACGACGCGGGCGGCTGT